TTTCACCAAACTCTCTGCCAAATACTATGGTCCATATCAGATATTGGACAAGGTTGGAACTGTAGCCTATAAACTTGCCCTACCTTCTCAGTTACTCTTGCACCCAACTTTTCATGTTTCACTCCTTAAACCTTGTTATGAAGTACCAACTAAGGTGAACCATCCTCCCATTTTAGATTTGTCCAGTCCTTATTGTCCCTGCCCAGCCAAGATACTTGATAGAAGGATGATTCAGAAGGGGAATAAAGCCGTGGTCCAATTTTTAATTCAATGGGGACAGCTGCCAGAAGATCAAGCAACATGGGAAGATTCAAATGCCATTAAAGTTAGATTTCCTACATTCATTCCTTGAGGTCAAGGAATTTTTTGAGGGGGGAGTACTGATATGACCTGAGTGAGAGCTGTGCAGATAGGAGTGGTACTTTAAGCTTTAGTAGTAGTATAGGAATAAAAGTAGTTATAGTAGTTACTAAGTCCTAAACGTTACAGTTTAGTCCTTGTCTTATTTACATTTCAGTCCACTAGTTATTTACTTTACAGTTTAGTCCTAAGCTAAGAGAGCCTTGTAATAGCTGAAGCTGTACAATGTTCTATTCAGATTTATGAAAGATATCTCTTAGCTCATCTTCTTAGCTTAGCTTCTGCAATTTTCTTATTCTTCTTCTCAAAACCACATCAGTGTATAAGAATAGTACTGAATATGGTATATTAGTAAATGATGGGATTAGTTATACAACAACAACAAACGCAGTGTAATCCCACATAGTGGGGTCTGGGGAGGGTAGTGTGTACGCAGCCTTGCCCCTACCTTGTGGAGATAGAGAAGTTGTTTCCAATAGACCCTCGGCTCAGAGAAGCATAATCACCACGTTAAAAATAGCATTGCATAGGGGGTGTATACATGCTTATCCATGTATTAAAAACCATGGTATTACCATATTACTAATGCCATAGCAACCATGTATTAAAAACCATGGTATTACCATATTACTAATGCCATGGTTTGCTATGTATGAGTTATATATATGATTATACCAAATAATGTATATAACTAATACATGCATTAGTTATACATATGTTGAAAAACATTACCAAACAATGGATTAATAATAATTTTCCCCTAATACATCCTACCAAACGAACCCTTAGTGTTTTTAGCTTTGCCCAGTAAGGCTTAGGACTTGGAAGAATTTTCCTGCTTTTAGCTGAGCTTAATGTTCTTTCTTTTCCCACTAAGCTTGTTAGCTAACACGAGTCTTGGTGGGGCATTGAATAGTATACATATTTGGGTGCTAATAACCAAAGTCAAGTCTTTATTGGCTGCAAAGTAGTAGAAGCCTGTTTAACATAGTTTTATAGCCAGTGAGAGTACCCACTTACCCAACTACCTTTTCTTGACCAGTAATATTAGAACTGTCAAAACGGGCCAGCCCAGCCCAGCCTAGCCCAAGCCTCATGGGCTTGTAAAATTTGATGGGTTAGGATAGGCCGGCCCGCCATATGAATGGGCCTTAAAATGGCCAGCCCAACCCAGCCCTAAGAGGGCCGCGGGCTAGGCCGGGCCGACCCTTCAATTTTTTTTAGAAAAAAGAATTTCTTTAGATCCTTAAATATTTTTTCGTGACATAGTCGATTAATCATGCAAACAACTTCTGTTTGTGTATAACGTACAAAAAGCTTGATATTTGAGAGGAATCTCGTAATTGAAATGCAAAAAGCTTCTGTTTACATGGATATTTTCTTAATACTTTTCTTTCATTTTTCTCAGATTCAAAGATTGCTTCAATAAGTTTATATGCTGAGTTTTTTTTATTTCAGGATTAACATCATTTGCTGATTTAATCATTATAGTCCATGAAATTTTTAAAATTCCTGAAATTTGCTAGTGGTCAATTTTTTTGTATGTGTATTTAAAATTGATCTTTTTCTATACTGAAGAGTAGTTTAAATATTAATAATATATTAAAGTAATCCAAACTAATCATTGGCCACTTAAAGTAATGTTTTCTTTTGAAAAAAGATTATTATTGGCCACCTAAAACTTTTTGTGTTCATTATTAATTTAGCAAAATGAAAACTAATTTTGTCATATTACATGCATGTCAAAAATATAAATGTTAGACTTTTAGTTGATATGGAAGGTAAATGAGCAATCTAGGGTTGGGGAATGGGGATTATAGTTAATAGTTTATTTAGTTTTTATTTTTTTAAATATTAAATATTTGATAGTTAATTAATTTTTGGCCCACGGGCCGGCCCAAGCCCAGCCTCGGTCAGGCCTCAAGGGCCAACGGGCTGACTTGGTCGGGCTTATAAGCCTCAGTTTTAAATGGGCTCAAAAAATCCTTGCCCAACCCTACCCAAGAAGCGGGATGGATTGGGCTTGGCCCGCGATTGGGCTGGCCTCACGGGCCAAACCCATTTTGACGGCTCTAAGTAAAATGTCATTAAAATGCTGGATTTGCTTAAAGATTATGCCTTTTGAGCATCTTTAAAGATCATTCTTTTGTAGATCTCTAAAGATCATGCCTTTTGAAGATATTTAAAGATCATACTTATATTAAAAAAAGATCTTTAAAGATCATGGTTTGCTTGAAGATTATGCCTTGTGATTCATACTTGATGGTTGGGTATCCAGTTCTTTTTTGTGGGGCAACCACCTTGATTTATATTTTATTTTCAAATCTTCTAAGAGGAGTGTCATAAAATATGGAGTTTGTTCTAATTGAGTTTCACTATGCTATGAAATATATCAGAAAGCTTACACGTCTCTTGTGACATTAAGTACCTAAATGGCTAAATAAGTGGCCAACTCTGCTTAAGTTTTGGGTTTATTGATTCGCATAGTTGTTTCATACTCCTTAGCAGCCTTCAAATTCTGTGTTAAGCGCTTACTTAGTGGACTTTCTTGCTTAGGTTCTTTAAACAGAGATGAATGCTAACAGCTATTTGGACACTCCTCGTTAACTTTCTTTTTCTAGATGACTTATAGTCAGTTTGGCCAAACATCTAGGAAACTGGCCTGGACATAAGCATCTTGAATTAAACTCCTACAAATTGATCATTGTTCCTAACATTGGCATTCACAAATACTGTTCACAATTAACAAGATGCCAGGAACTAGCGGCGGAGCTAGGAATTTCAAAATTCAGTAAGGGGGTTCAAAATATGAAGAAGTAAACATACGAAGAAATCAAGGGGATTTAACATTTACTTTATATACATAAAAAAATAATTTTGATCTAGTATATATAGTGTAATTTTCTGGCGAAGAATGAACCCCCTTCCGCCCCCTGGCTCCGCCTGTGCTAGTAGGAACAAGATCGAATTGTAGCAATCTGGGTTACATATATCTCCACGTTTCATATTTCTGGTCACTCTTAAGTGGGTCAAAAACCTTACTGCAAATAAATCCATATTCATGGCATATCATCAAAGCTACAGCTTACAACGTAAGATCTACGTAGTTTGCACATTTGAAGAAGCATTGATGAGATGCCATGAATAGGATCTATTTGGAGTGGTTCTGAATTCTGATGGATGTATGTAGTGTTCCTTAAGGATCTTTATATAGGTGGTTTGAAAGGCTTAGCAAGAAATTACAATTAATTTGGTCTGACCCAATTGGGTATCTTATTTATATTTCAGATTGACTAAATGAAATAACGGATTCAGTTTGTTCGCATAATGCACATGGAAATTAATGCATCTCCAATCCATTTATTTTCACAATCCATTTATTTTCAAAATCTACTTTGTAGATTGCAAAATAAATTACTACTAATATCTTTTTTTTTTCATAAAAAAGTTACTACTAATTGATAAATAATCAAGTAATAAAAGAGTTGAGGTATTTGGCTAAGCTTCTGGAGGGAAAAAAGAGTGATTTTGAGTAGTAACAAAAACTTCTTTTCTACTATAGGTAAGAAGTGAACTTTGTAGCTTCTCTTGAGAAGCAGAAGTAGAAAATAAATTCTTTCAGTACAAAAATATGCTAAGCAAACATTTATATTTACCAAAATATTGCTCATATATTTCCCATCTCAAAAAAAAAAATATTGATCATATATTTAACCCGTTTATCTATCAGCTATAAATACAATTATATGAGATGTATATATTTACCATACTATCCCTCCTTAAGGAATAATTATATATTGAATGATATAGTTTGATATATTTAAGTCACCTGTAATTTTATAATCACTTTGATTTAATTATGTTAATATTGATTAAATTGTTATCATACTTTTTATTGAGATTTTAACATTTTAATGGAATAAAATTGAAAATCTTAAAGCCTTTTATACTGAACATTTAAAATTATTTATCTATTAAAATAATATTACATATTGTAAAGTGAATCTTGTGTGTCTTTTTTCATAATTTGGCACTAGAAGCACTTAACAAATTGCTTATGTGATATTGATAAAGTACTTCTCAAATGGATTGACAGAACACAAACTACTACTCGTTCAAAACACTTATCTGAAAATCTGTTTTTAAAGAAGTCGCTTCTCAAAATAAGCAGATTTGGGAAGCTTGACCAAATAGACCTATAACCTTCTCTGTTTCTCCATTGACAAATGACAAGTTTGCTCAATGCTATTCTGGGACTAGCTACTGTGGTCTTCAGTCCCTCACTATGCAGTATAAATCTCCATATATCTGTTTCCGATGGTAACCTCATACTTCTGCTAGCCTTTGCTTCTAAAGCACATTACCCAGGAGTTTCTCAGTTTTTAGACAGATGCAGAAGCATTCTCTTTCTCTTAGTTGCCAGGTCTGAGATCTGGTCAAAGAATGTCTTGTCCTGTGAACAGAAAATTTCTCTTTAATTGCTTTCAAGATACCATGTAGAACTGCGGTTACCTTATTCAAAAAGAGATGCCATGAAGAACTGAACGGGTTAATTGCTTTCTGCTTCTGATGGTTTCGCCAGATAGGTTGTGTTCAGCAGTGTTGTAACTTATCTAAGAGTTTGCTTATGCTGTTTGTAGGGTAATGATGTGGGCACCCAATACAGATCCGGAATTTACTTCTACACACCTGAGCAAGAGAAAGCAGCACTTGAATCCCGGGACAAACAGCAAAAGATATTGAACAGGAATATTGTTACGGAGATCTTGCCTGCTAAGAAGTTTTACAGAGCTGAGGAGTATCATCAACAGTACCTTGCAAAGGGCGGTCGTTTTGGTTTCAGGCAGTCTACTGAGAAAGGTTGCAATGATCCCATCCGATGCTACGGTTAAGGCAGTTCTATTTGCAGGAGGAAATAAATGGATTTCCTGTGTGTTCTTGTAAGCTATGGTTGTTTATAGGCTTGAAATTGTGCTTCTGAAGTAGTGTATTTAATCTACACCTTATTTATTTTACAGGAAATAGCAAACAGTATATTATTGCAGTTGCACATTGTTTCATCTTTGCTAGTGTGATTTCGAGTGAAAGCTCTTAATACAATATGACATAACATTGTACATATTTGAAAGGCCATAGGCTGTTTCTGAGAATAGAAAAGCCATACTTTATAAAAAAATAGTTCAGGGGCTAAAATTTGGCACTTTTATACTGGAGTTTGTTTGAGTTGTGACAAAAACTTGGATAGTAAAAACTCTAGAAACCTGCAAGATGGTTAGAACCACAACACAAACTGACTTGCTTGCGCGACAGTAAATTACACTATCAATCCTCAATCGAAACTTTGTTCCAAAGGCTGCAAAAATTATTTGGACCTCAAAAATTGCTATTCTTGACTATTAAGTTTGATATCAGAATTGCTAGAAAAAAATGTGGGGGAAAACTAGAAATGACACACAACTCTGCAACAGGGTACTTGTAATATTGAAATTGGAAACAACGGCGACAAAGAAATAGTAGCTGATAACTAAGGAAAATAGGGAATAGTGGAAACACCGAGGAAAGGAAGGAAGGGGAGAAACAGAGAAAGGGGACGCAAGAGTACAACTCTAGCAACAACAATTGCCTAAACCACACACGCCTTACTTAATCCCTAAATCCCCTAGTAGTCCCTTCCGCGCACACTAAATTTGCCCCCTTTTTAGAAATGTAATTCGCTAACTCACCAAATGGGTCCTACATCGGGGCCACATTCATAACAATACCATCAATAACAACCTCGTCCTCAAGAGCAGCACTAACATCTTAGTATTGTCCCTGTTCATCTTTGCATGTGTTAACAATCCAGATGAACTCTTGGCCAGAAGCTTCAATTCCAAAGTAAGTGCTCGGTTCATTTGATCCACTATCCAGTCAAATAAGTTTACATAAATGAACATCACCAATGCATCCATATTTAATTCTCGGCAACCTTATCCTTACCAACTTGAGTATTGCATTTTGATAAAACTATTGCAACAGGGGGGTATGCATAAATACTCAGTTTTTGGGGCTATTGTTTAAGTTGTACTCTAAGTTAAAAATTCTTTGCAATTTTACTGTTTAACAATTTAGGACACAACTTCAGACGTACGTGACTGAAGTAGCACTGTCCACGTCTAAAGTTACAAATTTTGTCTGAAGTCGAAGAAAACATCTTAAGTACATCAAAAAATTAGTGCACTTCAGACGCACACGTCTTAAGTGCATCTTAATTGAAATTTTTACAATTAAGGCAAAAACGTCTTTTAAGTTCATGCACTTAGATAATTTCGTCTGAAGTGCAGATTGCACAGAAACAGAAACTTGTTCTTCGAATTTCAACAATCCAATACACGATTCAATGCCCAAATCTACTCCAGATAAGCTCTAATTTGAAACATAATTTCCAAATATCATAAAGAACAAACTCCAATAATCAATTTGCCAAAACAACAAATGTAACAAACCCATTTTGCAACTAAGAAGAAGAAGAAGAAGAAACCCTAAGCAATAGCAAGGAAAAGAGTGTTGTAGCAACCCACCATAGTAAAACACCATAAATCACCTTAAAACCTACTCACAAACAATATATAAACCCGTCGTCACCTCTATTGTCGCAGCAACTAAGAAGGAGGAGGTGGAAAAGCAGAGAAGAAGCATGTTGTTTGAAGTTACCTGTACTTTGGGTAGCTGTTAACATTTTTTAAAAAATGGGTACATGTCAGATGGGAATAGGGCGCCCTGTGAAATTTTTATATGGTAACAACTTCACAAGGCCATTTTGTATGCCTTCAATATATGAAGTTTTCTGCTTCAACATAGCACCAGCACAAGGAACTAGTTTAGGAATCTTGGTGATAATCCTAACAACCGACATTGCATCTTGTAGGTTTCCTTCTACTTCATTCAATAGATTATTACTGGCACCAATTAGAAGTACTGCAAATGCTTTTGGATCCTCCCAATCAACAATGAAAGCCAGCAGAAAAACATTGTTGCTCAAAAGCACTTTTAATATTTGGCCGAACCCCTCAAATCAAAAAAAAGGGTGCCTTTTGGCTTTCCAAAATTTGGCGCGCAATTGATAATTGCACACAAAAGGAGTTTTTAATCTCCTAAACAGTAGCGGCAAGCCCAAAAATAAAAGTTAAGACAATGAAATGGCAGCACATTATTAATCCTTGAGAGATCAAGAATAGTATCCTAACAGTGCCAGTATTTCTTGACCAAGACATTCATCAATAAAATAGAACAATTGTGCCTCAACCCCAAACAAAATTAAGATTAGCTATAGCTATATGAATCCACTTTAACCACCAAAAATTTTCTCCATATCTAGCACTTAACCTACACGAAATAAGATGATTCACCTTAGTTCAACTACTGCTACGCCGCCTTTAACCTTCCACAATCCTTCTCCTTTATTTGAACTTGAGATTGGTTACGCCTATCGAAAATAAGTTTAGTTGATCAGAACATTTTTACACCAAAAAATGGATAAAAGAATTACAGAAACTAAAAGAAGTTGTTAACAAAGAACAAATGAGTTTAATAATCAACACCAAGAACAGTCTCAACGTCAGAGGCAAGAGCTAAGTTGAAATCCATGAAAGCCGGACTAGATGAAGCTCATGCTATAAGTGCACTAAAAATTGTAATATTCAATGTTCAGCTTCCTTAAACATCCATGTGATATGCTGGGATTGGTCACATTGTTTTGAATCGAAGAGATTGTTCAGCAAAAGGCAGTGAATAGCAGCATATTTCACCTTACATCTGAAATACAACAATAAAGTTCACATTTCTACGCGGAAAAAAGAAATCAGGAAACTTAGCCCACTATTTGCATCAGATAACTAAAGCAAGCATCTTGCATGGAAAATATGCTACGTGAATTGGAACAACTTCAATTTGCAACAACAACAAAAAACCCAGTGCGATCCCAACTTCAGTTTGCATTCCTTCTAAAAGAATCAGAAGGTGGGCATGTTCATTCATTCAATAAGAAGTTAAAGCCCATCCACTGATCAGTAGTACCGAATATCAAGCCGTAGAAATCTAAGTTGCTTGGACTCGGGTGGAGTGTCCAATACGAGTATGAATCTAAAGGTCAGATCCTTCATGATCTTAATTTTAAGATACGGGGTTACAGATCCAGGTGGAAGGATTAAGCTAAAAATAATTCAAATATCTAAAAATAGTTATAAAGTATGCCTTAATTATGAGATATTATGTGGAAGACTTACACGGTGCCTAAATCCGAGAAGGAGATAAAAGGAAAATGATCAACATAAAAATTTCTACATACAAGGTATTCCATTTTCTTCAGCTTCACCCTAGCTTTTGTTTTGATTTTAGATATCATTGTATCTATCCCGATTGTCTATGTAATTTGGCCAAAGTACCCAAAATTGATTGACCAGATCAGGTATGGATCTTTCACCCACACCCATCAGTATACATGACAGGAACTGAAGAGAATCAGCAAAACACATAAACTAAACAATCATTTCGTGTTAACTCAATGAAGAATTTTACCTGTGAGTTGCAATGGCAAAAGAATGTAATGGAGCAATCGGTATAAGTTCACTACTTGATAGAAAAACAGACATTTGCAGTTCAGATAAATGTTTCTTTTAAGGATGGTCAAGGGTGGTAAGCCTTAATTCAGCAAGAGGATGAATAAGTATTAATTCCGTCATGTGGTTATACAACCATCTAAGTTATTCTATTATAGCATTCAAGACCAAACAAAAGCTATAAAAGGTCGGAAATTAAGCATAATGCAGGTTACAAGATATCAACGTTCGCATAGTAGATGTAAATGGAATAGCAAGGAATCGAAAAGTTGATATGACATGGAAGTGCACACAAATATAAAATCATACTTGAAATATCAAAGTACAAACGAATAGACTTACGCGAGTACCTCTTTAATACATTCTACCCGAGCACTTACGAGAACCACATCTACAGTTCTTTTTCTTCAGATTGCCATTTGCATCATAAACCTGATCAATCTGGTAGTTATAGTCATAAGTAAGCTCCTCTATTGGAGCAATACTCTTGGAAGCGAAAAACATTATGTGAGGTACTCTCCTATCACCGTGGTCATACATGACATTTTGAGCATAAAGGTTTGGTGAGCAGCTATGGTTGATAAATCTTCCAACGTTCCCATATCTTGCTGCATCAAGGGTAAAGCCATCTTCATCCTTCCTCTGAAAAGAATTTGACTCAACTTCGAACTTTTTATTCCTTTTGGGGGTTTCTTCATCATAGTTGCCAACATCAAACAAGTACTCATCATGATCTATTCTTTTTTCAGCTTCCTTTTCGTCAAGTAACTCCCCAACATATTCACAAATAAAACTTCCAGATGATACATAGTCCCTCGACCTCAAGCCCCATCCTCTTGATTCGGTCTTGAAAACTTCCAAGTGGTACCGTGGACCATGTTGGCTAACTCTATTTTTGCAAGAAGGAGGGCATTTGCAAGATGGACCACACTCGTAAACAAGAGGCTTTGCTCTAATAATAGAGCCTCTTGTGTTGAATGGAATCTCACCTCCGTTCCTAGAAGCACAAGAGCATTGCTCAGAATCCGAGCATCCACTTGTGCAACTGCAACCTTGAGGCATAGAGATGTAATACCAATCTGGATACTGCATGCTGGTAATGTAAGTGAATAGTGGGGGTCTCTCATCATCCATTGCATTGACGGCAGGGATCGGTATCTTCTCCTTTCCTTGCGAGATATCATAGTCCACAACAATCTCCCGCTGCACAAATTGCATAACTGATATTGTTGCCTTATTAACATTTTGACCTAAGTGATTTACCTTTCCTAAATTTGCTGGCTGTGACACTAGTTCACAAGTAAGTTTTGATTGGGCAGAATTTCTTTTCAGTTCAAACTTGAAAATAAATTTTCCAGTTGGACCTCTTTCTTGCGAACACTTTGTCACAGTGTAAAGCCCTTCGTAAATGTATCTTATATCACTCTTTTGATCCTTTACTCTTTGTCGACTACGAATAACCCTCACCGGATATCCCAAGTCCATGGAGTTCTTCAAGGCAAGATTACCCCCTTCAAGCTTTTGATCTTCTACTTTCGAAGCAGAAACTTTTGGATTCCCACCTTGACCTACATAAATGAATGTTTGAGAAGATATGGCCTCATTATCGTACCGACCAGAATCAACAATGGCAGTTGCAACATCTTTTCCGTTAATATTCACATAGTCGATACCCTTAAAATATTGGCGATGTAGTCCTATCACAACAAGTTCTGCCCTAAACCGGAATTGATCCCCAATTTCAACTCCGGGAACGTGTCCAAAGGTCCACTCACAATTCACCCACTTATTCTGATTCTTCAAACTCACTGCTGCCTCTATAATGATATTTCTTTTAGGCTGTCCTTCACGTTTCTCTGCTTTATCTTCTCGCAAAAGTTTAGAGTATAGGTCGTCAAAAAGTTTCAGGGCCTCTCTAACTTCGTTTGCAGGCTTGCCGTTCAAAGTATTTGGCACAAAAACTCTTAAAGGCTTGGCTGACTCAATCATATTCAGGGACTCTCTAACTTCGTTTGCAGGCTTGTCATTCAAAGTATTTGGCACGAAAACTCTTAAAGGCTTGGCTGACTCAATCACATTCATAGCAACTCCAGAACTACTTTTGATCTCAGCATCAGCAGGGCATTGAGTACCGTGTCCATTCGTTTGAGGAACACGCATGCCAGAAATTTCAGTATAATTCCATGTGTCCTCAACTTTTACACTCTTAGAAGTGGATGGAAATTCCGGGTAGATCTCAGCATCAGTGTAGCACTGAATTCTGCTTCCTTTCGTTTGACCAACAAACAGACCACAATTTTCAGGAAACTTACGGGTTGTATCAACTTTTAGGCGCTTAAATGTGGATGGAGATCTAGGATACTCATTGCCGACACTCTGATGTAATCCCTCCCCAAGCATCTTTGAGGGACTTTTTTCCGCTAACACAGACATCTACAATGCACGTAGAACTTAGAGCTCGTTTGGGTTAACTAATGATAAATAACTGATAAGTATTAAGTGCTGATAAGCATAAAGTACTTATAAGCATGTTTAAGTACTGAAACTGATTTTATAAATAAGCAGTTATGTGTTTGGGTAGAAATGCTAAAACTAATAATAAGCAGTTAATGTGTTTGGCAAAAAAAAATTCCGATAAGCTATTCTTTTGGTAAAATGTCTAAAATACCAAGAATAAATTTCAAAGCATCTTTGTAAGTAAAGAATAAAATAATAAAAAACTTAGTCACACTAAAAGTGCTTATAAGCTAAAAAATTATGAGTTAGGGGTGACCAACTTATGACAATTGGAAGAAGTTGGCTTATAAGTTTTTGTATGTTTACTAAATGTGTAAATAAGCCAAAAGGCGCTTTTTAGTCAGTTTGACCTCGACTATTCTATTGGGTACCTGCTACCTCCATTAATATCGGTACTGATTGACTCTGTCCGGCAAGGCTTGGACAGATGAAAAGAAATGACCTAATATTTTTTGCCTCCGCTTGAATTAGAATCTGAGACATCATGGTTTACCTCCCATTGACCACTAGGACGGTGATGCTTTGACCAGGTCCACCACTCTATATAAGCTTACCCAAATCCCTCTTAAAATCTTTGTAAAACCCACTTTTACCGAAGACAGTATAGCAAACAAGTTGATAATAAAACAAAGTATAATATAGGAAATCGAAGAACACGATTATTAACACCTAACAAGACATAGCATTATTAATGTTAAACGTCGACCAACAAGATGTTACAGCAAAAGAAAAATAGCAAACTTCTTGAAGACAAAGAAGATAAGTACACGAACACCAAATTACAAGCAACGAGGTAGAGTAACGAAATTCAAATTAGGTCTAAAGGATATTGAAAGTGAAACCTGAATCCAGAACAGAATTTAGAAGTCCTTGAAAATGGCAGTTGAAAACTTGGATTTGGGAGGGAAACGGTCTTTTAGTAATAAATGCTAAAAAAGAGGTGCAATAGAGCATCTACTAGAAAATTGGTTATAGTTAGCTGATTGACACAAAATACTCATAATTAAACTATAAATTGGTTATAACTACACTTTTTTCTGCAGAAAATAGTGTTGGATAATCTACAAGTTAACAATTTTTCTTTAAGGGGTCGTTTGGTTAGTGGGGTAAGGGATAATAATTTCGGGATTAGATGTGAGTTTATTTTATTTTGTATTTGGTTGAATTTTTGAATTTGGATTAACAATTTCGGGAATAATTTATACCACTAATTCTGGTATTATTCTATCTCACATTGAGGGTGCCATAATAATTCTGAGATTACTTATTTCGGAATAAAACACTACAATGATAAATATGTCATTCTCCAAGGCTCTTCCCCAAATTTTGTACCAATTTATCTAGTATATACCAAATACATATTTTATATTATACCCGATATATTCAACTTTTAGTCTGATGAACCAAATATCTACCAATAAAAATATATCCACTATATAATTTCGTCACTATTTAATTCCAATATTATAATCTCATCATTGAACACACTCTCTCCTTTTCTCTCATCTCAAATTGTAACGTCTCTTTCACTTACATACTTCCCAACCGCCGGCGCTCTATCACCGAAAACCCAGGTAAGTCGCTCTCTCATCTTTCTCTCTCCCTCTTCTCCCTGGTCCTCGTTGTTTTCTTCTCCTCTCCTATTTCTCTCTCCTCCCTTTCTCTGTCTCTTCTACCTTTCTCTATCTCTCCTACTTTTCTCTATCTTTTCCCAACCTATTTCATCTTCTTTTCTCTCTCTAAATCAGGGCCTGCCATAGCAGCAATGGCCACCCCTCCTTCTTTTTTCTCACCTTTTTTCTTGTGACCAGCTGTACCGTCGAAAACATACCGAAAACTGACTCAGATCTGAGGTTGCGCACCACCTACCCCTCTTCTTCCTTTCCCATTTTTCCCTTTTCAGTCCCTCTTTTTGTTTTATAGGTGCTCACTTTGCCGGCGTCACCGAAAAGGAGCGTGAGACGTAGGTACCGACGAGAAGTCAGATTCGATTGGAGGCAGCGACGGCACGTGGAGCACGTGAACTGCTGGAAATTGACTTAGGTTATTGTACGACACCCCCTTTGGCATTCACGACGATCCATCCAAGTTCTACACTGTCGGGAGTTTGTACCTCCTTTCATCGATCAATATCTCTGTCTTCCTTGTGCTAAATTAATAATTTGCGATAGTTATAGCACAATTCTTGATTGGCTACTTATACTAGTTCTATTGCTAGTAATTGTTTAGTTCTTTCTAGTTCCATTCCTGTGCTAGTAATTGCTTGACTGTCTTTAATTTCGACTACTGTTTTCAGTTCGGTTGGCCTGCTTCTGTCTTATCGTAGTTTGTCTCTTGCTTGTCTGTTTTGCTTATCTGTATTCCATAAGTAGTGAATAGAGTTTTAAGTGTTAGACCTTATTCTTTTAGTTTAATTCTTTGCCCGTTTAAATGATAGTACTAGCTTAGTTTGCCTTGGATTATTACAGCTGGGGTGAGTGATGGTAGAATACAGCCATGTCCTCGTCCTCGGGTTGGGCAGGTAGGGCGGGGGGCGGGAGGCAAAGATGGCAAGGGAGTCTCTAGGTTGATAGTTGGGTCCTGGATTATTGGTACTTTGACGAGAAAGCCGATAGAGTTATCGAAGATTCTCGTGAAGAGGAAGATCAATATAGCGTGCCCCCGGGAGACTAGATGGGTTGGTACTAAGGCTCGATATGCAGGAGGGTTTAAACTGTGGTACTCAGGAGGCGAGAGGGGTAAGAATAGGGTAGGTATTTTGGTTGATTGAGAACTTAGAGAGCTAGTGGTAGAAGGTAAGAGGGTGAACGACAGGCTGATGGCTATTAAGCCGGTTGTTGGAAGGTCTACTTTAAACGTAGGCGCTTACGTGCCTAAAGTAGGTTTGGGTGAGGAGGTAAAGAGGCATTTCTGGGAACACTTTGACGGGTTGGCCATGGAATCTCGCTCACCGAGAAGCTTATCATAGGAGGAGATTTCAATGGCCACAATGGGACGACCTCCGGGGGTATATGATGTGCATGGTGGTTTCGATTTTGGAGATAAAAACGAAAGAGGAACTTCGTTGTTAAATTGTGCTAAATCCTTCAATTTGGTGATTGCTAACTCATGTTTTTCGACGAGGAAGGAACACTTGGTCACCTTTCAGAGTACGTTGGCCAGGACACAAATCGATTATCTACTCCTCCATAAGTGTGATAGAGGTCTATGGACATAGAGATCGTGAGGAAGAGGAACATGAGGGCTGAGTATGGTCAACATAGGATCAGGTAGGGTGCCTTGACTAGTAACAAAGCTCAGGAGTTGGGGAAGAAGTTGCTGGATATGGGGGCTTGGAGGAGTAGTGGGGACGCGAGCTATGTAGACCACGATAACAAAATATATTAGAGTGGTTGCGAGATGGGTGTTAGGGATCTCGAAGGGTTTCTATGGCTGCCACAAAGGGGACTGGTGGTGGAGTGAGGAGGTACCGGAAAAGTGGAAGCCAAGAAAGCGGTGTATGTGAAGCTAGTAGAGAGCATTGATGAGGAGAAGATGACGAACATGGAAGAGTATAGGAAGGCTAAGAAGAGGCGAAGTTGGTGGTCATTGTGGCTAAATATATGGAGTTTGGATGTTTGTATGAAAAGCTTGGGCTAAAGACGGGGACAAGAAGCTGTACATACTAGCCAAGGTAAGAGAAAGGAAGGCACGTGATCTGGATCAAGTTAAGTACATCAAAGATAAGGAAGGCAGAGTGTTAATGGAAGAGGTTTAGATTAGGTGAAGATGGCAGACGTACTTCCATAAATTCTTAAATGGAAAGGATGATAGGAACATTGTGCTGGATGATTTGGAGCACTTCGAGATTCATCGAGATTTTGGGTATTGTAGGCGCATTAGAGTAGAAGAGGTCGTGAGGGCTATGCGTAAGATGCACAAGGGTAGAGCGACCGGGCCAGACGTAATCCCTATGGAACTTTAGAAGAATGCGGGTAGGGTAGGTTTGGAGTGGCTCACTAGATTTTTTAACGTCATTTTTAGAACAAAGAAGATGCCCGAAGAATGAAGGTGGAGTACGATGATTCCGTTGTACAAGAACGAGGTTGATATCCAAAATTATAATAATTATAGGGGTATCAAGCTGCTAAGTCATACGATGAAAGTATGGGAGACGGTGGTAGAAGTGAGGGTGTGGAGGAGTGTGTCTATTTCTGAGAACCAATTCGGTTTCATGCCAAGTCGTTCGACTACGGAAGCCATTCACTTTGTGAAGAGATTGGTGGAAAATAAAGAAGGACTTGCATATGGTGTTCATTGGTCTAGAAAAAGCTTATGACAAAGTCCTGAGATAGGTTCTATGGAGATGCTTGGAGACTAAAGGGGTCCCGGTAGCCTAAATTAGGTAACTAAGGACATGTATGATGGTGCTAAGACCCGAATGAAGACAGTGGGAGGAGACTCGGAAAACTTTTTGGTTGTGATGGGGTTGTGCCAGGGATCAGCTCTTAGCCTGTTTTTATTTTCCTTGGTGATGGACGCATTGACGCGACACATTCAAGAGGAGGTTCCATGGTATATGTTATTTGCTCAAGACATAGTTCTAATTGACGAGACACGGGGTGGTGTTAACGAGAGGCTGGAGGTTTGGAGGCAGACTTTAGAGTCTAAAGGTTTCAGTTCGAGCAAGACCAAGACAGAATACTTAGAGTGCAAGTTCAGCGACGTAACCCTGGAAGAAGACATAGAGGTGAGGCTCGATACACAAGTCATTCCCAAGAGAGAAAGTTTCAGGTATCTTGGGTCAGTAATACAAGGAAATAGGGAGATTGATGAGGATGTTACACATCGTATCGGAACAGGGTAGATGAAATGGAGACTCGCTTCCGGTGTCCTGTGTGATAAAAATAGGCCACTTAAAACTTAAAGGTTAGTTATATAAAGTGGTGGTTAGACCGACTATGTTGTATGGGGCAACGTGTTAGCCAGTCAAGAATTCTCATGTCCAGAAGATAAAAGTAGCTGAAATGAGAATGTTGAGATGAACGTGCGGGCATACCAGCTTTGATAAAATTATGAATGAAGTTATTCGGGAAAAAGTGGGAGTGACCCCCATGGAGGATAATATGCGAGAGGTGAGGCTAAAATGGTTCAGTCATGTGAAGAAGATAAGCATTGATGCCCCAGTTCGGAGGTGTGAAAGGTTGGCCATAAAGGGTATGAGGAAGGGCAGAGGCAAGCCAAAGAAGTATTGAGAGAGGTGATTAGGCAAGACATGACGCAACTGGAGTTTGCCAAGGACATGTTCCTTGATAGGAGGGTGTGGAGGTCGAGAATTAGGGTAGAAGGCTAATAGGTAGTTGAACGTTTTGCTCTTTCTTTCTCACACCGATAGCATTAGTATTAGTGTGGTATCCTTTTTACTCGTAGATTGCTATCTCTACCTACTGTTTGATTGATGTTTTCGTAATTTTCTTTTGTTGTTGTTATTGCTTGTGGCCTATGCTTCTTTTCATCTGCTCTCTAGCCGAGGGTCTATCGGAAATAACCTCTCTGCCCTTCTAGGGTAGGGGTAAGGTCTGAGTACACATTACCTTCCCCAGACCTCACCTATGAGAATTCACCATGTTTGTTATTGTTAATTATAATCTCATCATCATAATTTTCGGATAACTTATCCCCTAGTTAAACAATCCCTTAAGGCTGTTTGGTTAACTTTGAGATAGACAGGATATCCCATAGAGTTAGCTATCCCACGTTCTAATTGGATAGCTAATACTATCATTTTGGTATAAATTTATACCGATATTAGCTAATACCCATAATTAAACTTGAGATAAATACAATTCCAAATTCTATTTGAGATTAGTCTCCTTAAGCCACTCAGTTGCAATGTATGTGTATGTGTTGTGCAATTCTCTCGTTATTGATTTCTAGATTAGTATTATACATTCCATATGGGATCTAAACATCAAGTTATTCCTTTAAAAATAAAGGTAACATTGAATATAAAAGATAATTTTTTATCTAACAGCCAAATTGGATTTAAATGTCAAATACTGTTATAGGTGTATAACAACCAATACGATAAAAGAT